ATAAAGTTTCCAAGATTAAAACATGGTCGATTTTGTTATGAATCCCATGGTTCTGACATGTTTTAAATGTACTCCTGCCACACAGATAGAAGCTGAATTATCATTGTCCTGCTTACAACAGGTATAACATGTCAGTGTAGAATCTGAAGGAAAGTTTAGGTTATTCGAATATGGCAAAGAATAATGGCTATCGACCTGAAGAAGGATGCCTTTTTGAACAACTTTCTAAGGGAAACTGGCTTGTATTTGCATTACATACGAGGAATACTAGAAAAATCAACCATGCAGCCAGCCCTTTAACCATTATATGAAACCAAATCAAACTACCAGTATTCAATGGTCTTATATGAAACCAGATCAAACTACCAGTACTCAATGGTCTTATATGAAACCAGATCAAACTAACAGTATTCAATGGTCTTAACCAGTTGTAGGAAAATCTGAAGAAAATGATTGCAATACCATGTAATAAGAAATTAACTATGTGTTGCATAGCAGGATTACTTTTTGAAGCGTCGAGGTAGAGAATACTTTTTTTTTCTTTCTTTATATAGGTATTTGGCCATGGTATTCATTACACATATATTCTCTGTCACTCATACAAAATACTAATATTTTTAGTAAAATGTGTCTTTTTCATTAAGTGCTACTGTACATATAATAGATTAATGGATTCATTAGTACAACTCTAATATATGCCCTAATTTCACCAAATGTGGCGATATGTGTTCTGCGCTGGTTTTGGTGCACATTGCATGTTCTATGGCAACCCTGTTGAAGTTGAAAAATCTTTCGCTGGAGCTCCTTGGTTCGCCTCTGTGTCTGAGAAGAATAGGGAGGGAAAGATAAAATGGTGGAAGTTGTTGAATTGAAGTTCGGCAAAAGGAATATGATTATGGCTATCCTGTTGAGGGATAGTGGGTATTTAGAAGTGTGGAAAGGGGTCTGGGAGATTATTTTAATGGCAGCGCATAATAGAAAGTAGGGATTTGTGATTTTATTTATTTTGTGAACCATAGTATAAATTTTCTGATAGTGTGTCTCGGCTGTAATGTAAATACATAGTGATTACGTGTTAAAGCGGTATGAAATTTATATTTCTGCTATTCGAAAATGCATTTTATTTTATCCTGTTCTTATTTTTGTAGAATGTTATGTTCATTGGTTCTTTAGTATGAATTTCTGTCGTTATTGTTGTTTTTTTAAATTGTTTGAAATTTATTTTAGTTTATTTAGTTGTTTTAGTGTCTAGACTGTACAATTCGTAGATGTTTTTAAATTGAAACAGAACGCTGTGTATATGGTATTATTTGAAATTTATTGTTGTTATGTTATTTTATTAAAGCGAGGAGTGCGAAGATCGTAGATTACTTCCTTGCCTAAATTGTGCAATTCGTAGAATTTTTTTTAAGTTTAAACAGGATGCTGTGTACATGGTATTCTTTGAAATTTATTGTTGTTATGTTAATTTATTAAAGCGAGGTCTGCGTAGTTTGTAGATTCGTTCATTGCCTACATTGTGCAATTCGTAGATGTTTTTTTAAGTTAAAACATTTCGCTGTGTACATGGATTCTTGTCAAATATTTTTGGTTAGAAACTTTACGTTTTTGCTATCTAAATTTTTTATTTTTGTTTCGGATTTTTAGCTAAATTGTGTGTTCAAAACGTAGTTTTTGCATGTGTGAAAACCACGTTTTTGGAGACATTTTAGGCTAAAAGTTCAAAATGTAGACAAAAAATTTAGATAGTAATATGGCAGCGTGAAGTTTCTCGCCAAAAATATTTGGCGAGAAATTTGGCGACTTGAGGGCGCATATCAGAGTAGTTCCGATTCATTACTAAATAATACATTTAAAACATTAATTTTACACAAGCAATTTTTCAAAGTTGTTTTTGAATTTAACTGCTGATAGCTTACAATATTTTATTTTGAAACAACTGCCTTTTTCATAATAAATTTGGCAGTTCCAAGAATCTTCAATAATATTCAAATCCTTTAAAGTAGCATTGTAAATAAAACTAGAAGAAACATTATACATCTTGTTATCTTTCAAGATTCATTCAAACTTTGATTAATTACTCAAAGCAGTGGTTTACTAACTTTGATCACCCTGGGAATACATAAAAGTATTTTGTCATCTCAGAGAACCAATAATAATTTTTATTTCATTCTAATCATCTATTGTAGATAAACACCTAGCATCCTCTGAAAAGTAATAGTTAAAATGCATTAAAAATATAGTATCAAATTTTTAAGTACGAAAACTGATTTAATTCTTATTATTTTAGGTAAAAATAACAATAAAAATTTAATTATTTAAAACATATATGATTGTGGCCCATGTTAATCATAATATTTCAAAAGCTCTATGGTTCTGCGTGTTTAGTCTTTTAAAAATTATGTAAGAACATAGCCGTGTTATTAATTATTCACCCCCGCCAATTTTCACCACCTCATCCGGTAGTGACGCACCCAGAACAGTCGAGAAATATTATTTGTGTAAGGCAAGTGCTTGTAGAACCAGGTTGCTACCTCCCATAAACCAATTCGCCAGGTTACCAGCTTTGAGCTTTTATCACCATTTTTGGCAATGTTTACATTTAACGGATCCTTTGTGGAAGCGCTTCCAAATAATCTTCTATTAATGGTGAAAGGGATGCATGGGACAAAACACGTTGAGAACTATCTTAAAAATCTTGCATTAACCAACCAATGAATCAACAATCAAAATTTTTTATACTAGTTTCACATTACTTTGTCATATCATCATTTTTGTTAATTCATCATTACCATGTTATTATGAATGCTCAAAGATCGATCTAGTCATTACACTGGGATAGGTCTATGCCCAGGTATCTGCAAATGAATGTTCCGTTCAAAGATGCATTTTGACATTGTATAAGGTATTTCTCCTGCCTTCTTAGCATGCCTTTGTGGTGTAGTGGTCAGCACGCTCGGCGCATATTTGAGAGTTCTGCAGTTCGAGTCGCAGCGAGGGCATTGCTCATTTTCTGATCTCTCCTGCTTTGAAATAATCTTAGATTAATAACGGAGATTTAAAGCTAACACATGGAAGGCCTTGACTTTTTGACCAAACTCAATTTTGAAATGTAGAAACTGTAACCAGTTAGAACTTTTAATTTTCTACTTTATATACCTTCTGTATTTAACTGTGTTTTATTTTTTATATTCGTCATTATCAAGGAACTTTCCTTAAACATATCTTACAAAGACGGTCTGTTTTTCCTGCACTCCATATCGTGAATCGTGTATGTCCGTTTCAAAGCAGTGGTATAATTACAATTGTGTACCATATCATCTTCCTGAATTTATGCTCAAGAAACTTTGCAATCGCATATCAGTTGGCGTCACATATCCCATAGGCCAACTCAGCAATGTCTCTATAGAAGCGACGGAACTAAAAAAAAAAAGGTGGTGGATGTTTATTCTCCACCACCAGGATTTTGATTAAGTTCCCCTAATCCCCAGTCGCCCTTTAAAAGGGGAAGTGTATACGACATTTCTCCCGTCCTCATGGTGTAGTTGTCAGCATGCTCGGCACGTATTTGAGAGGTCTGTGGTTCAAAACCTGGCAAGAGCATTGCTCATTTTTCCTGTCTCCTGCTTCGAAATAACCTATGTCTCTACAATTTTTAGTTCTCAGTCCTAGAGTTAATGACAAAGTAATTTTAGATCATTTATTTCATTATTCAGAAGCAATATCAAAGTAATTTTAGATCATCTAATTTATTATTCAGAAGCAATATCAAAGTATTTATTTCATTATATTTAATACGTTAATTTTTAATTTAAGTGAAGCAGGTAAGAGACTAGTGATAATCAAAGTGCCTTATTTTTTTTTATTTTTACATGATTTATTTATTTTAGTTCAAAGCATTTCTTCAAATAAAATTGGATGAGAAATATGTCAATGTAAAATTTTAAACTAGGAGAAAAATTGCAACCTTAGTTTGGTTTAGATTTTGAATAAAACTTTATAAATTTCAGGGGCACACAGATAGAAATCTTTCAGGAAAAGTAAAGTTACAATTCCTCCTCTTCCACAAGAGGAAGACCTGTGTCTGATCATCCTCAAACCCTGTTGCATTTTATTCAAAATATATACCCAACTAAGGCCACACGTTTTGTTTAATTTTGAATTTCTTTAATTTCTTCAAAAAGTGACAAATTAAAGCATAATAAAAAGAGATTGGAAAATATTTAGTTGATACACTATTTTCTAATAAAGTTTCATTACATAGTGTAAGGCAGTTCACCAAAAAAATACAAACTTTTCCTACAGTCATGTCACTATACATATTTCTCAAAGTAAAAACAAATGTTCACTATTTACATAAACATGGAATAATTTATTTCAAAGAGATTTCTAATTTAAAACTGCACATATTGAGGTGTGAATTAAAGTAACAATTATACAACAGAAATGCACAACATTTCAAACTCCTTCTTTATGTTTTGGATATTCTATCCCATTACTGTAATACTTAATATTTGATATGTACAATAGAATGTAATGCATACTAAAATTTATCAAAAATGTACATGCAATGAAAGAAGTTGTTATTCTGCAACAGGTTAAATATTTTTTAGGATTTCATTGCATTTACCATGATGAAACAGAAAATTAAATGAACGCAAATTGTTTGAATACATGTACAACTATAATATTTGTTCAGCGACAAAGTTATTAAAAATGCTCTTAAGATTTTGAACAAAAATTAAATTTTAGACTGAAACGGTATACTTTCATTATCTTTTGGAAAGCAGTATTTATTTTTAAATTAGTTTTCTGTCTCGTATCATGCGGTTTAAAAATAGAGGGATATTACCATGCTACATGGGCATTACATGAACTACTGAACTACAAAATACATTATGATATGGTCTGTTTTTTCAATTAAAGCATGAAAGAAATATTTAAGAATATAAGAATTAAGTTTATTAGATTAATAATTACGCAAAATAGATTTAACTCACATCATCATCATAAGAGCCGGTAACAAACATAGAGGTGCTTTTTGGAAGCCATCTAATTCTGCTGATTTTTCGCGACACAAATTTTATTTTCATTGGAGACATGACACTAGTTTCCAAAAATTCATAGGGGAAAGTTCTACGTTAACATGTAAACGTAAGTGTTCATTGACAAAAATTTAAATATCGCGGGAAAGCCGTAGTCCTAGCATGCTCAAAACTCATGAAATATTTTAAACCCTCAGCTTGTAGAGGCATTTTAAAAGATTAACCACGGTTCATATGAGGCTTCGTCGTAACAAAAAATTGAGCGTTAGGTAGTGAAAATTATTCGCGACTGTAGTGATAGCCATGCCAGAGTTGTTCCGCCTGACTTCGAGTTTGCCTAGATCATTGCAGTGGATTATTTAGAAATTTGGAGCATACAGCAGCCGAGTGGAATAAACCCCGAACTTGAATTTTCGCAGAGATCATGCGTTCGACCGCAGTCGAACTCGAAAATAATTAAGGGGACTTGTATATATTACTTCTACTTAATTTCGCCCCTTAAAGGCCCTCATAGGATCCATTACACCGAAAATGAGAAAACAGTACTCTTCATTTTGCATCTCAAATCTGAGTTTTGCGAGAACAACAACAGAACAGATTATCTCTGACTTTAATAACAATTACGCAACAATTCCACTCACTAAAACATCGTTCTAGTTCAACCATCACATCTTGACACTCAAAAATAAAATACGATCTGTGTGTGTGTGTGGAAGTTATTGACTATGTTAAGAATTTAAAGAACAAAAGAGCCTGGTATTGACCAAATCAACAACAAGATGATGAAGATGCTACCACTCAAGTTTATAATATTCAAACTGACCAATATTTTTATCACTATAGTTCGATGGAAATAATTTCCACAAGAGTGGAAAACAGCTAAAATCACTCCTTTTCTCAAACCAAAAAAAGCCTGCATCTGAACCTTGGTCGAACCTTTGTCGCATCGAACCATTAGTCTATTTCCTTGCATAAGTAGGCTTATAGAAGCAGTTATCCTCAAAAGAGTACGCGATCATCTGGAAGCAAACAATATACTGATCCCACAACAGCTTGGATTTCGGAAGTCGTTGTCTACATCTTATCAACTTTATCGTGTTGTGGAACACATCTCTGAAGGAATTCACTACAAGAAGTATACTGGGAGTTTATTCCTGGACGTAGCACAAGCTTTCCACCGTGTCTGGATGTACGCACTAATATACAAAATTAAACAATCTGCGCTTTCCAGATTACATTACACACATAATTAAATCCTACCTAATAGGTAGACATTTTGTCGTTGACCTTTCTAGCACTTAACATGAAAGAAAATATTTTTTCAATATAAAATATATAACCAAAATTAAACTAATCTATCCTGTACGTGTGATTAATTCGTTTTGCAATTTTTCTCACACAATTACTAATACCTTTTTTTTAATATTACATTGCTGTTATTTTAAGTTTTATATATATATAAGAACTGCTCAGTTTAAATATTCTTCCTTCTCAAAAGATTTTATTCTGTGAAAATAATTAAAAGATAGTAATATTTTCACAATACAAGTACTAAAGTAAAAATAATCAGTGTAGGTCTCCTGCAGTTGAAGTCCTTGTCAAACCAGCGTTTCGACACATTTTAAATAGAAAACTAATAACAATCAATATCTCTTTTACAATGTAAAAATAAGAATGCTATGAACAGTACTTTTTTTTTTTTTTAAGTTTGCAAAGAAACAATAATTTTTTAATACTGTAATAGGTTACAAAAGTACTATTCCATGAACAAACCCTCAGTCTTACAGCATTGTTACTTTATAGCATAATAATGCAGTATAATTCTGCTAACAAGCCCACCATCCGCCGAGCGGTAGTGTCGCTGAACGCAGGTAGTTTGGTCCGAAGTTCGAATCCCGCGAACGAGCTGGCCGGCGCTTTCCCCATGTGTAACGTGTATACGAGCCAGTTTCCATTATAAAGTCCTCACTTAGAAACCGGTTTTAAAACGTAATAAAATTACACACACACACACACACCAAAAAAAAAAAAAATCTAAAAGCCTTCAGATTTTATATTACTCTCAAAGGGCCATTTTTTAACGTTTTGCGTGTTACCTTTATTTATTAAATATCATGTTCTTCGCCCTTAAACCATAAAATTCAATTCAACAGCAATATCATATAATTTAAAAAAAGCATATCTTTAGAATTTCCGATACATAGTTTCGCGTACTGTTTTTTTTTTCCTCTTTCTTTCTTTTTTTTTTTTTTTTTCGTGCAATGTTGGCATTGCTCGCTTTGAAATCGTTGGGTTTCTTAATCAAAAACTCATAAATGTTTTACAAAATATGAAATAGATAATAAAACAAAGTTTTTGGGCCTCCAGAAAATCTATTTATATATAGGATGGAGGGTTACGTTATTCAGAATTTCATGGATCTTAGGCCGGTGCCGTTTTATCACAGTGCGAGAAATATTCATACATTCTGCAGATTCCTCATTATTTAATTTCTTTAAATATAATGTGCGATAATTGGGCACGATTTAAATGAACGCCATATCTAACGCCCCAAAATGGCAAACGAAATATGCCTTGGAAAACTATTTCGTACATAGTAGTAGTAAGCTACAAATCCTTTTGTAAAACATATTCAACTGTATTAAGTAAGTATCGGTCACAAAAGTATTCGAACACCGGTACCCTATCAGAAAATGACAAGATGGCGTTTTTTTCTCTTTCTCTCTGTGTGTCGTGTTATTCCATCCTAGGTTTTCTTCTCCCCCCCATCTTGGAAAAAAACTGGAAAAAATTGGTTACGATCTCTTTTTGAATGGGGAGATGCCATTTTGAGAAAAAGCTGACGACCCTATCTTGGAGAATGAACATGACCGCTCTACACACCTTTTCACTCTCTCTCTCTCTCTTTGAATTGGGAAGCCATTTTGGGAAAAAGCAGACGACCCTATCTTGGAGAATGGAAATGAACGCCTCTCCCTCTCTCTTTGAAATGGAAAGCCATTTTGGGACCCTCTATTCTTGGGGAGGGAGAAAACTGAAGTCTGCACTTTGCTGTCTCTGAATGCGGAAAGCCCTTTTGGGAAAAGCGGACCCTCTTCTTCTGATCTTGGAGAACTGGAAATGAACGCTCTACACGATCTCTCTTTGAATTCAGAAGGTATTTTGGGACCTTCTAATGTTGGAAAACTGAAATGAACGCTCTACGCTTTTCTCTCTCTCTCTCTCTTTGAGATGAGTAGCCATTTTGGAGGATTCTCCACCACCATCCTAACCTTGGAAAACTGAAATGAACGCTCTACACCTTCTCTCTCTCTCTCTCTCTTTTCTCTGAAATGGGTAGTCCATTTGAAAACTCCCTAACTTTGGAAAAAAAACAGAAATGAACGCTCTACACCATCTCTCTTTGAAAATGGGGGGGGTGTCATTTTGAGACCTCCCTCCCCTAAACTTGGAAAAAAAAAACTGAAATGAATGCGCTCTACACTTTCTCTCTTTGGACATGGGTAACCCTTTGGGGACCCTCTCCTCTTGGTAGAAAAAAAAAGAACTGAAGTGAAGGCTCTACACAATCTCTCTTGGAATGGGATCCATATTTCGGGAAACGTGGATCACCTCATGCTGGAAAACTGAAGTGAACCACCAAGATTGGACTCTATATAATATTTTTTTTTTAATTGACATCATGACCCTCCTCCAATTTGTTATTAAAAAAATTGTTTTTTTTTGTTTTGGTTTTTATCCCATTTCCGATGTGATTTCAGAAATGCAATTCCATAACAGTTCAATTTCATTCGAGGTTAAATGATCTAAACAGTCTTTGACCCACCCATCCGTATGATTATTTTCTTCTCCTTCCTGTTGCACCAAATTTTGTAAGTCCATATAATCATTCCATACGGGAAGGGCTGGATCCTCACAAGGCTGTCTTGAAACACTTGGAGTCTCTTTGGGATGAGTGGAGGGATCTAGGATGTCTGGACCCGGCTGCGATTCTACCTCCATGATTTCTGGACCCGTTGGAACTTGTTTACCCGGCTGAAATTCTACCTCTACGATTTCTGGACCCGTTGGAACTTGTGAACCCGGCTGTGATTCTGCCTCCATGATTTCTGGACCTGTTGGAACTTGTGGACCCGTCTGACATTCTACCTCTACGATGTCGGGACAGGTTGGAGGAGAAGAAGAAGAAGAAGAAGAGGATACTGGAAGAGGTTCTGTCTGTGAGGAGTCCGAAAGAGGTTGCCTGTTTGAACAAGTCGGGGAAGAAGAAGAAGAAGAAGCTTCTGGATTCTGAAGCGGATCTTGCACGCCAGGTAGGTTCCGGTAAGTCGACCGTTTTTTAAGAGGTAATTTTTTTTCTTCCTCCTCATCTTCAATTGTGATGACTTCAATTTCATTCCGTTGCCGGGTCGATTTTGTTTCGGGCCATGACGGTTTGGTCCAGCTCCTCTTATCATCTAAGGAAGGGATGGGTAAAGGTGGCGGAGGGTTTTCTTCTTTTTCTTGAAACATCATCGGCGATTGGAAAGAAATCTCCTCTTTCAATTGTTTCCAAAGCGAGTACGAGCACCGATCGACGAGAAAGAGACTCTTCTGGGTTGTGACGATGAGATATTGCGTTTTCGGGGGAACGACATAGTTTTGAAAAGGTCTTAGAATATATTTCTTATATTTCATCCTGTCGCTGACTTTAAAACTTCTTTCCTTCAGATTGGGGGACGATGATTCGTAATAGGCGAGAGGAGCGGCTGTGGTTTGAACAATATGAACTTCGTCCTCAGCCGTCGTTCTCACTCCAAACGTAAAATATCGTTTCGTGAGAAAAATATTATTCTTCCACCGAAAACTCGTGCGCGGATCCGTATATCGCCGGTCTGTTTGAATGGGCCGTCTCAAAGCTCGATCCATCCGATTCCAAGAGAAGGGAGATTCCTCTTTCGTTTGTTGCGATTCGAATAAATTTCTGTATATATTCTGAACGAGCAGGTTGGAGGATTCGACATCTTGGTTGAAAGAAACGATCGCTTGATGAGGTGGTAAATGCGGAATAAATGTCGCACAATGACACGCCAAAAAAATTTTCAAGTTGGAGATTTGCTTTAGCGTCTTCAAATCCTCCCCGTTCGAAATCCGTTGAGTTGGAAAAACGTCTAATAGCGACATGGCTCCCAATGGAAAAGAAATGATCT